GGGGAAGGTGGCTCAGTGGTAGAGCGCTTGCCTTGCATGCATGAGGCCCTGGGTTCGATTCCTCAGCACCACATAAACAGAAAAAGCCAGAAGTGGTGCTATGGATCCAATGGTAGAGCGCTAGCCTTCAGCTGAAGAGTTGAGGGACAGAGCCCAGGCCCACCACCAACAAAAAAAAGGGGGGTCAGAGGGCAGGGGGTTAGCTCAGCAGTAGTGCAGTTGCCTAGATGTGATCCGCAGCACCGAAGTGCAAAGGGGTTCCCAGTCCCTTCTACCTAGAAGGGCAACCAAGCAACCATGGGCCTCACCTGACAGTCTGTAAATTCGGCCCTCACTGGAACAAGGCCTTTGGTCACAGGGAAAGAGCATTCTACATGTTCACAGCGTGGCTCAAAAAGCAGGCTGAGCACTGGGCTGGGATGAGGGTGTGGCAGCTGGGGCCACACACACTGCACGTGATCTGAGGAGACCCACTGGGCACCCCAAGAGTCCACGATTCTACCCCCCCTCCCCCCCGCTCCTTTCTAACAGCTAGGACAGCTGCCTGTCCTAGGGAGAATCAGAGATCACACCCCATCTTTCCCTGTGCTTTTCCCTCTACCCAATCAGAGTGCTTCTGGGACTGGTCCTCCCAGGCACCCCGGCGGCCTCAGGCCCCGCACAACGCCCCGGCCCGGCTTGATGCAAATACTGCGCGAGTTCCTAGGCTAAAATTACCTCTTAAGAGTCAGTTTTCATAAAAATGTGGTGACAGATTTAGGTGCCGGGAAGATGGAATTTTCTCACAAGGCATAAAAATGACCCAAATGGTTAAAATCAGCCAAAGGCCAGCCGTCAGCGGCCGCAAGAGCAGACTCCTTGTTCCCAGCCTTGGCCGGTCCTGCGCCCAGCCTCGCCCGCCGCCCTGCCTCCCCGGGCTGGACATCTGCTCCCAGAGGAGGAACTCTGAGCCAAGATGCTCGTAAAGAATGATCTGCTGTGCCCAGGCAATGAACTGGCCAGGGCAGAAACTGGGGACTGGCAAGGGCAGCGACCACCCCAGACACTGGACTCTGCCGTGAGCGCTTCATCTCTAACACCACACAGAGAACCAGACAAGCAGCGCCCTCTCACCACCCCCTCCACACACATGTGTGCTTCATTCCTTCCTCAGAAATAGCCAGAGAAGTCATGCCCTTGGGATGGACCCTGTGGCTAGGCTTTGCCACCCTGACACACAGGCTCCGGGCACAGGTCCTGACCCCCTCTTTTAAACATGGCCAACCCCCTGAACTCCAGGGACTCTGCTGCTCTGACATTCGGACTCTAGAGCTACTTCAGAAACCACCTTGTCATGGGGCCCCAGGGCTGAATCAGGCACGGCTCCCCACTGCAGCCCTGTAGCCCACCCACCACTTCTTACTGTCCCCTTAAATCCTACTGCTGTACTTCAGATCCTGAACCCCCCCCAAGGCCCAAGTATTAAAGGCTGGGCTGGCAGGGTGGGCTGTGCTCCTGGGGGTGTGGGGGGCACCTTTGGGGGAGGGGCCTTGTGGGAGGACCCTAGGTCATTGGGGGGGTGTCTTCAACACAGGTTATGGGACCCCTGTTTCTTCCTCCTCTCTGCTCCTGATATGAGTAATTTTCTACTATCACAGGTTCTCACCAGAGGCCCACAGCAATGGGGTAAAGATCATGGATTGGAACCTTTAGAACAATGAACCTTTTCTCTCTCTGTCTCATATCAGTTGTGGGGCTTGAACTCAGGGCCTGGATGCTGTCCCTGAGTTCATCTTGCTCAAGGCTAACACTCTGGCACTTAGAGCCACAGCGTCATTTCCAAATTTCTGGTGGTTCATTGGAGAGAAGAAGCTCACGCACATTCCTGCTGGGCTGGCTTTGAACTGCCACCCTCAGATCTCAGCCTCCAGGGTAGCTCGGATTACAGGCGTGAGCCACCAGCGCCCCGCTGAACCTTTTCTCTTTGTAAGTGAATTCCCTCAGGTGTATTTAATTATAGTCCCTGGAAACTGACTAACAACCCTCTCATTCTCCAACGCCACAGCACCTGAGGGGAGCGCTCACCGACGCCTCCTTTCTACGCCTTTGTGCTGCCATCTTGTGCTGCGCCTCCCGGGTCCCCTCAAACCCCATGCGATGCCACCTCCTAGTCCCCTCCTGTCCCACACACCTCCCCTCCCTTCCCGCGCTGCTCCAGCGCCTCACAACGCTGCTTTCTCCTGCAATCATGGGCAGGTGCCAGAGCCCTTAGCAAAGCCCCAAACCTGCTGGCCGATGCTTCCAGAATGTTTCCAGAGCACTGGCAACGTCTCACAGATATCCGCAGTACCTCTATCATCTTGTTTCCCTTTACCCCCAAGCCTTAAGGTAGGTGTATCCCCATCTTACATCAGGGGAAACTGAGGCACCGACTCTAAGCAACTTGCCCCAGGCCCCACATCCTTCAGGGGTGGCAGCGAGGATGTACGGAGGCCCAGGCCTCTGATCTTCTCTGCTCTCTCACCTCTCTGTTGTCAGGCGTGACGACAGGGCTTGGATGATCTGGGGGGACCCTGATCTAAATGGAAACAAGTCACCATTCTAGAATGTCATGAACGGTTGGCGAAGCAGCGCTCTTCTGAAGAGGCGCTTCCAGACTCGGCCTCAGGAGTCACCGGGACAGCAGCGCATTCCTGGCGCTCATGTCTAGGAAGCTCAGCCAAAGGCCTCACCAGGAATTAGTTCACCTAAGGAGGCTAAACGTTTCCCTAGCAATCTGGCGGACGCTTCAATGGGCTTCCGTCCGTCTCAGAGCCCTGCCCGTGGATGAAGTTCCCGCATGACTCCACATCCAATTCACCCCTTTCAGCCACGTGCAGCAAGACCCGGGATCTCCCAGAGGAGCACCAACTGGGAAGGGAAAAACCAGCTTCCCCCCCTTTCCCCTCTCTCCCCTCCCCTCTCAGCTTGACCAGGCCTTGAGTCCCAGGAAAAGCAACCTCAGCTCTGTCTGCTGTTCCCACAGGAGCCCCTCACTTCCCCGCTTCCCAGGTCCCCCCATTCCTCCCTACACCCAAGAGCCTTATCTCCCGCGGGATCCCCGTGAGGGGGACTGAGGCCCAGCCAGAGAGGACACAACAGCACCTCTGGAAGTCAGCCTCCGTAGCTCTGCGTGAGATGCTCAAAGTAGAGCAGCGCCTGGAAGATGAAAGGCTCTGCCCGGTGAGGCTGACAGATGACAAGAGAAATACTGAGCCAGAGCCTGGCAGCCATGACAAGGGATAAGGGGAATTAACAACCAGGGGAGAGGCTGAGATGCTGGACCACAGGGTCAGGGAGGGCCGCCACACTGTAAGGATGCAGACAAGATCTGTGGGAAGCATGGGAGGGGCCACAGGGACATGTGGGGTACAGCCTTCAACAGCAAGTGCAAAGGCCCTGTGGCAGAAGGCCCTGTGGCCAACATGGAGGGGAGGAGCCCTGGGAGACAAGGTCAGCCAGGTGAAGGAAGTCTGACCAGCTGGCACTGGTGGCCATTGAAGGGAGTGGTTTTACAAGATGGGAGACGGGCCAACTACAAGCAGTGGAGGGACAGCACCCCGTTTTAGCGGGACCCGTTAGTACCCAGGTAGAAGAGCCTAAAAGCATCTTCTAAATTCTCTGGGGTTTTTGTTTGTTTTTTGGTCAGTTGTGGGGCTTGAACTCTGGGCCTGGGCGCTGTCCCTGAGCTCTTCAGCTCAAGGCGAGTACTCTACCACTTGAGCCACAGAGCCACTTCCAGTTTTCTGGTGTTAATTAGAGATAAGAGTGTCACAGACTTTCCTGCCCATGCTAGTTTTGAACCATGATCCTCAGATCTCAGCCTCCTGAGTAGCTAGGATTACAGGTGTGAGCTACTAGTGCCTAGCTAAGTCTCTGGTTCTTCAAGTCTGCCCTCTCCTCAAAGCGCCGATGACAAGGGACAAAGGGAACTGGAACCGCAGAAATAACAAAGATACACTGTGGATCACCCTTGGCTGTGGTGGGGCCTGGAAGTCAAATGGACATGGTGGGGTGGGGCGGGGCCGGGGGAGGCGTTGAGATTTGACCACCACAAATGGGTGACACTGAAGTCTTCTGTGCAGGAATCACCTGGCTGAATCCATCCCCACATGACCAGAAACACGGGGGGAGGGAGGGGGTGAAGGCGGGGGTGGGGGTGGGCAGGGAGGAGCAGGAGGAGTAATACCCAGGGGCCATGATGAGCCAGGACTCCCTCTCCCACACCAGGGCTCCCCCAGGATACAGTCCTGGACCATCAACCTGACTGGATGGAGACCCCCTAGGAAGGTGAGTAAGGCCCGCTTCTGGGAGCTGCAGCGGGGCGCTGACCTATCAGGGATTCAGCCCCTGAAATCTTTTGGTGGGCGACGGGAAAGCCACGTATGCTTCTTGTCGGCTGCCCACGGCCCATCTGCTTGTATTGATAATTCTGCGTGGCTCCTAATGATGTTATAAATATCCAAATGGCCCTTGGCAGATAAAAGGCTCCCCCGCTCCAATAGAAAACTGGGAGGAGGTGGGAGAAAGTAGGTCACTGGGGAATGTGTGACTGGGGGCTGGATCTCGCCTCGCCCCTCCCAGCTGCTGATCCACCCTACTTCCTGTCCGCCATGAGGTGAAATATTCTGCCACCAGGATGTTCCAAACCCAAGAGCCGAGGGGCCAACTGACCCAGGGCTGAGCTCCCTGAAACCAGAAGCCCAGATCTCGCTCCTCCTGTAAGTTGTTGTGCAAAAAGCAACTAATATCACCATGTCTCCCTCAGACTGGGGCTCTCTGAGGAAGGATGGGCACCATCGGCCCCATTGTCAGCGCTTGCTCTGCCATAGACTAGGACAGCCCTCTGCCTGCCTTCCCGCCTTCATGAGGGCTTGGAGCTGCAAGTGAACCCCCTCTGGTAGGATGGCTCAAGAGCTGGAGACAACAGACCGACACGATCAGGGACTGGCTGGTGCCCTGGTAGGCAGGGCTCCACCTACCTCTCGCCACTGCTTGTTCTCCATGCCTTGAGTATACATGACACACACTGGAAGAGAGAAGAGAAACAAATTAATTAATACTGCAGGCCAAGGGAGTTCCCGGATGGGGAAGGGACCTTGGCTGCGTGTACACCATGGCGGCCTAGAGCCTGGGTTGCTCTGGGAATTGGGCAGAGTGGTTACCGCAGGCATCCGGATCTTGATTTATGTTTCTGTTGTTGTTGTTGTTTGCAGTGCCGGGGATCAAACCCAAGCTTTGCCCATGCTAGGCAAGCACGCTACCCCCAAGTGACAGCCCCTCGGCCCCACAGCTCATGTCTAGGCATCAATTCACAGGAGTCAGCCTGGCAAAAGCGGCCAAAGGGGGCCACGCCTCTCCTTCTGCATGCTTTAGAGGAGGGGAGGACACCATTCATTCATAGACAGGTGGACAGGTGACGGAGGACAGGGTGGCAGAGTACATTGGAGCGCATCTGAAGGCACAGGGGCCCTTTATACCCACAGACCTGTTAGTCTCACCAACCCCCTTTTACTGATGAGAGAACTGAGATTCAGAGGAGCCCAAAGGCCTACTCAAACCCAACAACTGTCCCACCAGACCACAGCCAATCAAGGCTCAGAGTTTATCTGGTTTCAGCCAGGCATGGGCGGCTCACGCCTGTAATCCCAGCTCCTCACAAGGCTGAGATCTGACAATGGTGGTTTGAAGCCAGCCTGGGCAGGAAAGTCCAGGACACTTTTATTTCCAATTAACCACCCCAAACCCAGAAAACCCAGGGAGTGGAACTGTGGCTCAAGTAGTAGAGCACTAGCCTTGAAGAAAAAAAGCAAAAAAACAAAAAACAAAAATAACAACAAAAACACTCCGGGGCAGAGCCCAGGCACTGAGTTCAGGCCCCAGGACCACACACACACACACACACACACACACACACACACACACACACACCAATTATACTGTTCTCCCTGGGACAGCAGCCAACTTGCCCCTGGCCCCCCAGCCCCTCCCGACCTGCTGGGTCCCCAGGAGGCTTCATAAGCACGGTGGGGGGGGGCTGGGCAGGGAAACCCCAGTGCTCCCTCTCCAGCCGGTGGCCGGCAGTGATGCCTGAGCAGCCCCGCCACAGTGGGCACAGTCATTAGTCACAGTCGCTGCTGTCATTGTGACCGTTACTTCCGCGGGACTTACGTGGGTCTGACTTGGAAAACATGTCTTTGTCCAAGAGGTTCCTGAAAGAAAACACAGAGGAGTCAGCAAGGCGGAGGGGAGAGGCCCTGAACCCCGGGCGGAGGCTGCCGCTGGCCTGGCCTCAGGGGAACAGAAACGGAAGGCCATCACTTTAGCCAACCTTGATTATGTGTCCTTAATTGTCAAGGTGCTCGGTGGCCCCCAGATCCCCCCCCCGCCCTCCCCTTCCCAAGATGCCTGGAACTCCGCACCCCCCAAAGCTGCCCTCGCCCTGAGATTCCTGTGCCCTGGCTGCTTCTCACTGACCAAATCCCAATCAGCCCATTCCACCAGCCCTTTCTAGAAGTTTCTTCACCATCTCCAAAGCCATCTGCAGTGACAGCTTACAGAGCAACCGGTCCCCACTGTAGGTCACACACCCCAGCGTCCCTCTACGCCATAGCAGCCGGGAGCTGACACATGGGGTCCTCTGCTCTCCTCTCCTCTCCCCAAAGACAGCCACCACAGCCTGCCCTCCCGGCCCCGCTGGCACCCCACCCCTCTGCTGGTCCCCAGGAAATGGTCTGATAAACCTCCCAGCCCACTGCAGAACACGGGACACAGATGAAATGCCAAGCTGACCTGGACCCATCCTCCGGGGGTGCAAATTTTGGGGGTGCCTATCTTCCCTTAAGGCTGCTGAGGAGGGATCTCCAGCCCAACGAGCAGGGAAATTATGGGGAGATGTGGCTCCACTGAAGAGGCAGGTTTATCCTCCAGATCTCCATGAAACTCTAGCTGCAGAAAATTCTAGAGTGCTCAAGCTGGGAGGCCCGCCCAGTCACCTTTCCTAACTCCTCCAATGAATCAGGAGTGTGACACTCAGGGACAACTACTGGCTCCTCCCAGGGCCGGATCTCTGTCTCCTTCAAGCTTGGGTGGGGACAGGGGACAGGGGACAGGTTAGTCATGTGCAGGCCAGCCGGAGAGTGAGGCCCAGGATTTCTGTCTAGGATGTGTGTGTGTGTGAAACAGATAGAGGAGGAAGAAATAGTGTCTTATCTTCAACGACAAGTCAATGGGGCTGCTTTTCCACTGGGCCAGAGGTCCACAGCTTAGAAACAGAATCACCTGGTTTGTGTGGCCCCGCCCAGGGACCTCAGGACTCTGTGAGCCCTGGCCCCAGACCACAGACCTTCTGTCTACTGCACTGCTGAAATAAGAATACTAATAGCTGGGCTTGCAATGTGGCCCAGTGGTAGAGTGCTTGCCTAGCATGCATGGAGCTCTGGGTTCAATTTCCCAGTAGCACATACACAGAAAAAGCCGGAAGTGGCGCTGTGCTAGCTTTGAGCAAAAGAAGCTCAGGGACAGTGCCCAGGCCCTGAGTTCAAGACCCAGGACTGGCAAGAAAGAAAGAAAGAAAGCTAATAACTGTTTTTGTTATTCATTATTATAGACTGCTGACCCTGAGGCTTGAACCAGGACCTTGTAACATGCTAGGAACGTGCTTTACCACTGAGCTCTACCTCCAATCCTTGGTTTTTTTGGAAGCAAGAGTCTTCCTTAGATAGCCCAGGATGGCATTGACTATGTAATACCCCTACTTCAGCCTTTCCAGCACTGGGATTACAGGTGTGCGCCACCACACCTGGCTACAATTATTCTTACCACCTTTCCAGAGCCTTCCTACCCCTCTTCCTCAATGTGCCTTTCCTGGCTATTGCCCCAAACCACACTCCCCTCCCCTGAGCTCTCGCTGGCCTGAAGGGTTCTCCTCTTCCATTCCTGGGACCCTGTCTGTGGTCCCCACAACCTCTGTGCTTCTCCAGAGCAGGTCCCCCATTCTGCCACATGCCGGCCCAGTGCCAGAGGCCTGGTAGGTTGGATGGAGGAGGACCCAGGAGGAGGAGGGGGCCAGGGAGAGGAGCAGGCCTGTTCTCCTCACCTGCCTCCTCTGCCTGCAGTGAGTGGGGCGTGGTCAGATGCCCCATCTTCCTGTGCCCCCCCTTTCCCTCTCTAGTTCAAAGCTGCTCAGAGAGGAACGTGGAGCTCCTGGGAGCCAGCAAAGGCTTGTTTGTTCTGCGCGATGCGCAGGCTCACGGGGCAGGTGACAAGGGAGGCGCAACTACCCTCAGCCTCGCTGGTCCAGGGAAGCCCAGCCAGTCCCACCTCCCAGCAGCCCCTGGAGCGCGCTGTTTCCATTGGCTGAGCACTGGCCACGCCCCCAGCTTCAGCCCCTCCTCTCCTGCCTCCATCCTATCCCTCTCCCCAGCCCTAAGGACCCCCACACCGGATCCCTTTACCTCCTCCACCTGTCACCAGCTCCTGTCCTGACAGAAACCAAGGCCTGTGGACCCCGGCCACGTGGGCCTGGAAATGTGGCGTCCTCCATTAGAACTTCCCCGGGCTTACTCACCCTGCACCCAGGTTTAAAGGGCAGATCCTAACTCCAGGAAATGAAAAATGAGAGTTGTTTGTCTGTTTTTCCATTGAAGAAAAAAAAAAAGGCAGATCCTTGGGGCTGTTCCCAGAGTCTCCTTTTGTAGGTCTAGGGCAGGGCCGGGATGTCACTTTTAAATAGGGGTCTTCTTGTCAGCCCTCTCTTGTTTTTGTATGTACTGGTGTGTGTGTGTGTGTGTGTGCGTGCGTGCCCGTGAAACAGTACTGGGACTTGAACTCAGAGCCTCCTGCCCTCAGTTTTTTCCACTCAACACTATCACATTACGACTTGAGCTACACCTGCACTTCCAGCTTTTTGCTGGTTAATTGGAGATAGGAATCTCATGGAGTTTTCTGCCCAGGCTGGCTTCAAACTTCAACCCTCAGATTTCAGCCTCCTGAGTAGCTAGGAGTACAGGCATGAGCCACCAGTGCCCCAGCTCTTCTTTCTATTTTTGAAACAGGGTCTTACCAGGTGCCCCAGGCTGGCTTCAAACTCACTATCTTCCTGCCTTGTCCTCATGCCTCCTCCTATGTGCTGGGATTACAGGCATGCACCACCATGCCCAGCTCCCCTGTGCATTTCCAAACACCACCTTCTGAGGCCTAGTGTCTCAGGGCCTCAGCTTTACTACTGTTTGGCCAAGGACCCCAGCACAGGCCTGCGTGGTGCTTAGAAGCTCCCCCACAGCCAAGCACCTGCCCTGGATCCCCATTCACCTCATCCCTGAGCATCCCAAGCTCAGAGACTGACTTCCTCCAGGCACACAGCTAGCAAGCAGCCTGGGCAGGGAGGAAACCATGTCTTTTGACCCCAAAAAGGGCCCCAGCCCAGGGGAAAGACCAGCGCCCCAATGCCTTTGCCTCTACTTTCTGTTTTTGGAGAGCTCAAAGGGAAATTTTTTTTTTCTAACAGACAAAATGTATTTTTTCCCTAAAGAGCATAAAACCCTTCAGCTGTCTACCCAGCAGCGCAGAGCTCGGCTTCTTTTGTTCCTTAAATCAAGGCCCAGGAAAACAGAGCGTGGGGGGGGCAGGGGGAGGGTCCTGCCCATTCTCCGCTCTCCACCAAGGAAGAACCGTTTTTAATTCAGAGGCTGTGGGAAAATGGCATCCACAGGGTGGAAAGTCCGAAATCCCCGGAGCCCGATCTAAGGAAGAAAGCACTGGAAAGGTCAAAAGAGAGCCCCAGAGAGGTGCTACCAAGGCTGGAGGTGTGCTAAACGCTACGGGGTCCCTACCTCCTGCTCTTCCCCGCTGAGCCTGTCAGCCCCGCACAGTGGTTCTCAGAGGTGTGCTTTGTGTTGGAGGATTCCCATCAGATTCCTAGACAGACTGCTTGAGTTAGGAAAAGATGGTTTCTTAGCCAGGCACCACCTGAGACTGAGATCTAAGGATCATGGTTTGAAGCCATCCAGGACAGAAAAGTCCCCGTGAAACTCTTATCTCCAATAACTGGAAGTGGAGCTACAGGTCAAGGGGCACAAAGAGGCTCAGGATCAGCTCCCAGGCCCTGAGTCCAAGCCCCACAACTGACCAAAAGAGAAAACAGAAAAGATGCTTTCTTGGAATCGGGTGTAATAGTGTACGCTTGTAATCCCAGCACTTGGGCTACATAGCAAGACCCTGTCTCCCCCCTTTCCCCCCCCCTAAAAAAGTTGAGTGATGATGACTCACACCTGTAGTGCTATGTAGGCAGCTGGAATTGTGAGGCCAAGTTCAACAGAAGAAACTGCGGTGGGCTAAACCGATCATCCCAGCTCTGAGGGAAGAATAAAGCAGATAGATCCTCATCCAGCCACAGGCCTGGGCAGGAAGCAAGAACCTATCTCAAAAAATAACCAGCCCCAAAAAAGGGCTGAAAGTATGGCTCAGCAGCTGAGCACCTGCCTAGCAAGCACAAAGCCTTGAGTTCAAATCCCAGAGACAGTCTGTCTACTTTCCAGCCACCTACTGGTGGGCGGAGGACGCAAGGCCGGGCCTTGGGGCCTCCACAGGAGAGGAGGGCCTTCTTTTGGAGATGCCCAGGGGACGTCTGGGTCACCAAGTGTGCCCCGCCCATGTGGCCCACTGGACCCCCACCGATCTTGCTGCCCTGTTTCTGTCCCCAGTCCCATGGGAAGCAGAGTCAGAGGGCTTCCTGTGGCCACTACCAGCTCCCCAGAAACAATGAGGGACACAGGCCAGGTGCACCTGCCTCGCCTCTCACCCCTCGCCCCCTCCTCTCAGGTCCCGCTCATCCCCCTGACAAGTAGCCGCACTGAGCTCTGAAAACAACTGGGCCCCAGTGGCACACACCTGTAATCCTAACTATTCAGGAGGCTGAGATCTGAGGATCACGGTTCAAAGCCAGCCTGGGCAGGAAAGTCCCCTTGAGATTCTTCTCTCCAATAAACTACTCAGAAAAAACTGTTAAGTGGCACCGTGGCCCAAGTGGTAGAGCGCTAGCCTTGAGCAAAAAGTTGCTCAGGGACAGTGCCCAGGCCCAGAGTTCAAGCCCCAGGACCAGAAAGAAAAGAAAAGAAAAAAGCAATTTCCCTTCAGAAGCTCTCAAAAGTATTAAAATATGTAATATATGTTATATATTATATATAACATAGGACACATATAATATTTATTA